CGGATGCATTGTCTAAACTAGGGTAATAAATTATTGCTATCATGCTTTTACAATATATCAACTTTTGACGGTAAATAGGTCATTATTGCCAAACACATCAACCCTGTAAATAACAGAAATTTGATATGTACAGTGATTTAGAAATGGGAAGCTAGTATTTTTACTCCAATGGAATTTAATTTGAATTAAGTTACTGTTTTTATTTCAGAATACCAGCTACATTTTTATTGAACGACACAAAATGGTTCACATAATATTTAGGTGGTTCAAAAATGATTGATACTCCCTCCAAAACTTCGGAAAAGTATCAGTGTCAAATGCGAGCTCGTGTGTATGGGAAGACATACTGTAGTGCCGACTATGGCCACGAGATGACGTTGCTACTGCGCACTGGTCGAAAAGTGCTGCGTCATTCGTGGCGGTGTGCAGGTGCAGTCGTGGATTCTGCGAACATTGACTGTCCGCATACGAAAGGAAGGGTATCACAGACAAATTTTAGAAGTACACAGTGTACACTTAAAAGGCGCACGCGGTAGAAAGCCAGTCGCTTAAGGCTGCTTAGATGTAGACTCTCTCTGACTGAGAAAATGATAAGTAAAATTAGTATGTAAGATTTGAGGCTTTCACGGCGGTGACTATGAAGAAAGCAGTCTGCTTTACCGTTTCTCACGGTGTTGTCGCTTGCAGATTTCTTATACTTTTTCTTCTACCCTGAAGATGGGGGCGATACGTTCCTCCGAAACGTCGGTTAACACCACATATACACGGTGCCAAATCCCAGAAGACTGCTTTCTTCATAAAATTAGTATGTTTTGTAGGCGAAATGGAGCGTTAAGACGAGTGGTATATATCCGAACATTTACCACGGAACTTTAAAAAGATATTTGTTGAGCTGGTGCCGATATCGTATTCATCAGCTTTAGTGCCCCGTGCTAATATAAGGAAAATTTACGATAACAGATGCGCTTTTAGTATTATGAACTACCTATCAGCTCCCGTAACTGAAATCTGTAATCTGCAATGCTTTAATATCGCTGTTTCCTGTAAATTTTAAACTTCTAAGCCATCTTTGGCGGAGCAGGGTATGTTCCCGGAAACGGATGTAAGATATTGAGACCAGTATTAGTTTAATAGTTTTGAAGTTCTCATGAAATCTGACGGACCCGTGTGCTAATAATATAACAGGAGCGGGGAAATAAATTGAAATTTTATGACATCCAGAACAAAACTGTCCCAAGTATGAAAGCCTGAACTTGTGTACACTGACACGGAGCGTTGCCTTTCTATCCATTTTCGTCTGTCTTGGTCTCTTATTTGTCGTTCATTCTGCCTTCCTTTGTGTCTCATCTTCTTTCTCTCTCTATCTCTGCGTATATATCTGTTACTCTCTCTGTCTGCTTTACTTTTCCTCCTCCCAACCGACTGCCTTTATTTCTGTATTTTACATTCCTTTGTGTCTTCTTTTCCACTGATATATATATCTTTCCATATTTATTTTTTTGCTCTATATCTATCTATCTATCTATCTATCTATCTATCTATCTATCTATCTATCTATCTATCTATCTATCTATCTATCTGTGTGTCTGTCTGTGTGTCTGTCTGTCCGTCCGTCTGTCCGTCCTTCCTTCAATCCATGCATCCATTTTTTGTCTGTCTGTCTTATAGCCTGCCTAGCGTCTTATATTTCTCTCTTTATTTTCTTCCTTCTTCATTTCCAGCTTTCCTTCTTGTGTCGTTGCTCTTTGGTCAGTCTGTAAACGTTTTCTTGTAATTTGTTGAATGTCACTCTAAATTTAATGATTACAGTGTACAGGAAATAGAGCATGTGAAGCCTGCGATGCGCCGAATTTCCGAGTGAGAGTTACTGAGAGCAAAGTCTTTCAAACAGCTCGTCGAATCGTAACAGAATGAATACAGCAGCACAGTGGCTCTGCCAGTACACTAAACCTTGTCGCCTCCAGGAAAATTCGTCTGACGAGTCGTGAACCATACTTATGTGAACCGTTGCTGGAATGAGAATTGATAAGGGAAACGAAATACTTGGACATATCCTGCTCCGGTGTCAATTTGTCCACCACAAACCCTGTGACGCCTCACCGCTTGAGCCATGACAAGTGCTAAGTTGGCAGTGATCCAGTTCTTAGCGCTCAGTGTTGCAGTCTCCTATGGAGCCGCAGTGTGTATTCTGTGAAGTAGAAACCCAGTATTTAGATAATATTTAGAATATTTTCAGCCTTCCAGTGGTTAAGAATAGCTGCAGGTCTGCCTCGGAATCAATTTAACGACGTCTGCCCCAGCGTCCCATTGCGGGATGCGAGAAAAGCTTGGAAGGTGCGAAATGAAGGATAAGAGGAGAAGTGATAATGTGGTCTAGAGGGAAAATGGAAGCGTGGAGAGACAGAAGAACGATCAATATCTTTCGGAGAAGCTGAAAGAGATTAATGGATAGAATGGAGCGGGAACAGAGTTATTTTTCGCGATGCGGACTATAAAGGCGCCGGCCACGAAGCTCTGTTTTATTGTATTAATTCCTACTTTCATTGAAGAGCTGTTTTATTTTTGACTGATCCGTCATATTTAACTTGGTTCATCGTGGTCCGTCGCATTAATAATAGTACAAAAGATTATTAAATCCTTCCATTGTGGTTGATAAATTTTGTGTTTTTTTTTAATCTTTCAACCTTTACATGTTTCGGTCGGAACCACCATCTTCAGAAGGACATTATCAATACATACGGAAACTAATATTACAATGTCATAAATATAAAATATCTGGACGACATTAAAGAGGCCTGTTCTTCAAACAAGGCAACCACGACGTGGTATACAATCATCATCCTTTTAAAGAGATTTATAAAGGACACGAACCAAATTGGTTCTAGATTTCAACAAAAAGCTTTATAGACCATACTTATAAATAGCCTAATTTTAAATCTTGCTCATCGCAGTAATTGTTAAAGGATAATGTTTTATATTGTGACATTACAATAGCAATGTCTGTATGTATTGATAATGTCCTTCTGAAGAAGGTCGCTCGGACCGAAACTTGTAAAGGATTAGAGATTAAAAAGCACAACATTTATCAATCATACTGGACGGCGTTAATAATCTTTTATACCACCATCATTAATTTATATTTTATCAGCAACACCTCCTTGAAGGAGAATGTTGTTCCCCCGGAGTGAAAGAATCGCTCTTTTCCACAACTGTCTGCACTGGAACATTTTGCGAGAATGATGCCGGCTGTTTTCTCACTGATACTTAAGCACGTATGGATAGTGACACAAGATGTACTTCCCTAGATCATAGACCCATCACTTCTTCCTGAAAGCGGAAGCAGAGTTATCTTCCAAAATGTTGTATTTGTAGTATAAAACCTAGAGGAAGTGGAATGCCCAAAATATTAAAACTAACAGCAAAAATATCATTAGACACAATCCCTGTTCCGGGAATAGAATTCGGTACTAACGAAATGCGAGCCGGATGCGTGAGATCTTGACGAATTTGTACATATATCCAGTAAGGATATATCGTGATAAAATTATTATAGTAATCATCATTATAATCATCATAGCTCATTATTATTATTATTATTATTATTGGAGAGGGGTGGGTTTCCCATGCACCGCGACCAGTGGTCTATTGTACGTCACCCTGTGATATTCTATCAGTCTCTATACCCTACCGATACTGGTGCGTGCCATCAGTTCCGACTCAGCCAGCGAGTTCGGTCTCTACTGGCTCAGCGGTATCTAGATGCTTCCCCCATCTACCAGAGGCGTTAGAGACTATTGTTGGGCGGGAAATGCCCTTACAAATTTGGCTCAGAGGTCTCCTTGAGGCATGAGGTTCTTTTACGTGCCGTAAAGCTACGACACGGACCCACGGCTTAACGTCCCTCCCGGAGGATTTGTTCCCTGAATTTTTCCGCCCTTAAAAATTCCACGACCTCCGCCAGGTTTGAACCCGCGTACCTTGAGTCATGTGGTGGGAACGTTACCTCTAAACTGCAGAGGCTGCTATCATCATAGCTTTGTATGATCATGAAATTCGAAGCTATAGCCTAAAAAGCTGGAAGCAGAGTCGGAAGCAACGATAAGAACAGCAGATGAGGTGATACTGTGAGCACGCAAGCTGGTGACGCTGGCACAGCACAATATTCGTTTCTCAGTTGTTACCCCTTCAAAGTTCAGCGGTAACTATATAAGGCCTACCACTTGCTCTAATGCCAACGAAACTCAACAATTTGCGAACAAATTTATCTTTATTGTCACGTGTAAGAGTGTGTATAGATGGAGTTTGGATTGGTAATTGGACTAATTGAACTGTTACAAAACATATCTAGAAATAACTGTAACGTTATCGCAAGTTCACACTCTCTACAATTCACTAAAGCACGCACTAATTCTTCTCAGTCTGCTGTGTCTTCATCGGTTGTCGCCTGGTAACGGCTTGCAAAGTCGTAGCTCCCTCAGCTTCCGTGTTCACGTCATTACTGACCAGTGACTGTTTCACAACTAACGAAACTGTAGACTAGTCGTGCTTATAACACCTCAGCACGAACCGTGCAGGAAACACCTCTCTTAACAGTTCTTCTGTTGTTTTATCACATAGTTATTGCAAGGACCTTGTTGAGAACACCTCTTCCTAGTTACTTCATTTTTACTTCTTAAGAATGTGTTGCCTAGTAACGGGCGTGTTTGCAGAGACGTTCCCTGGCAACGGCTGTGTATGCTGGCTTCACAGTTCTTGCCTTGAGCAAATATGCCACAATATCTTGGGTAACAATATTGTAGGCCTCAGAATTAAACATATTTACAATGTTGGTGTTATGGTTATTATTAAAGAATTAAGTTTAAAAGTAAAATGATCATACTAAATTTCTTTTAAATTAGTCAGTTCGTTAACTTTTGATTAAAGGAGGCATGCATACACCTGTTATTTCGAGTTTCGTTTCTCCTGGAAGGGGGCCAAAATATGTCATAATGCAAACTTACCTATCTTCAGCACAATAAGCTGCACCGTAGCAGTGGGTAAGTCCTTTTGTCGTCACAAATCCGATTCGAATGTACTTGTTTATGCATTGGGCGAAAGTTCTGCAATGTTGGCTGTGCTGTTAAAGGAGATGGACCAGAACGTCCTGTTCTCGTCGGTCATGATGATGTTTCGGTGTGGTGACCGTTGCAACACTCCAACTGTGCTGATGTTTCGGGCACGTGCCGACAAAGCAGTCCACACAAACAGACCATGGAGGGAGGACGTGAGATATTATGGCACTTAAATTCTACTGGCACATGTGGTTTATCACGCCGCTTTTAATAGCGCTTATAAAATTGGAACATAAAATTTTGTGTCGTGTTGGCAAATTTTACGACAGTAGTAGTAATTCTAGATTTCTTTCCAGTTCGGCTCATCGTTTATGTTAATTTAATGTTGCAATTTATCAGCCACATGCTCACACGCGTAATTATAGCTTGTGCCAGTTTCAACTCCGGATAATCGGGAATTCTCCAAGGGCTCAAGTACTTGGAATTGGAGCAGGAAATAAATTTGATTAGCCTTATTTAAAGCCTCTTAAAACGTGTTTGCTTTACCCGGTTGGGCGCAAGTCTAATAGTTTAATGTCTAGCTTCATGTATCCAATAGTTCCACTTCAAATGGAGGCGAAGATGAGCGACGCTTGCTGGCTTCGGTCGATGCCTGCTTCGATTAGTATCGCAGAGGAACCGTTCCCTGGAAACGACCTCATGAATCGGAATTGATATCTCCACTAGATTTCCTGCTCTGTCGCGAGTGGAGGAAAGGTGCATAGTCATACAAATATCAACTGAAGTTCTATGTGAATGAATTGTTAATACGTTTCAAGGAAACTGAATATGTCAAATTTACATAGGTCTATAAACGTCAACAGAAGTTTGTGGTGAGCGAATTATAATAGATTTAAAGTTGACTGAAGATGTCAAATTTACATAGGCCTGAAAATGTCAACAGAAGTTTAAGGTAACTGGGTTAACATCAAGAAACAAACAACACATCAATGAAGGTTACTGTCTCCTGGTATCCTACGCCTTCTTATCTGGGAGATATTTGCCACATTCCGAAGTTTAGAAGAACACATATTCTTCCGAAACGTCTATGATCATGATAGAACGACGTTACATTTCAAAAAATCTTCAACCGCTGTCAGAACCTCAAGTCTCCCAAAGAACAGTGTGACAGACGAACAGCTGCAACATACACCTCTTGGTTTTTTCACCTTTCAGTCAACACAGTGACAGGGCTGCGGGTTCGGCGACGGAAGAATCGGCGTTCGATTCCCAGTGGGGGAGACAAGAGTATTTATTTTCTCCGCATAGCCCGGATCTGCTCGGTGACCCACCATGGATATTATCCAATGTCGAGTGGCATCTTTATCAGGACTTACAGAGGTCATGGCGTGAAACTGACAACTCCCATCCATGTACTGCCGAGGCTTAAGTGTTTCTCCACACTTCTTGGCGCAATACTAAGCATAACTAATCACGATGATTTTACCTATAACAATGGAGAAGATTTATGTTATGATCATTTGGGACACCACAGTATGGTAGGATGGCACCAAAGTTCCGAGGAAACATACATAGAGTGTAGTGGCGAAGATGGAAGCAGTATGTCCTAGAAATACTACAATTACAGGAAGCCCGAGACTGTCAGTATTCATCATTATAGCTCGGTATAAGTCTATATAGGCCGGTCACGGTAGCCGAGCGGTCTAAGGCATGCACTGACTTCGTTCGCTCGGAAGCCGGGATCGTGGATTCGAATCCCACTCAGGGCATGGATGTTTGTTTGCGTTTTACTGTGTTTTTCTACAGGTAGAGGCCTTGCGACGAGCTGATCACTCGCTCAAGGAGGCCTACCGTATGTGTAAGATGTAGAAAAAGCGAAGTGAACGGAGTTCATGGAGGTAGGCCTAGGCCCACTGGGGCTGTAGTGCCAAGGAAAGAAAAATAGGTCTATATAGTTCGACGTTGTAAGAACTTGTAACTGCTGTATGTTCAGCTTCGTCAAGAACCGATTCCGAAGACGCCACACACTTAAGGCCCACTGCGAAATCGGAGTTAGCAGATCGTTCATATTTTTTATTAAAGTGTTATGAATGATTTCCAGCAACTGGGATATTCTGGGAACCGCATTCAGCAACCTAGGGACGAGACTAGAGCAGGTCTCGAGGTTGCCGGGATTCCCGTGTTCCCAAGATGTTGGCCAGACATTATTTCAGATGATAGATGGAATATGTCACGATGGGAGCATGAGCACTCTGTGATTATCCGTCGAGAGAAGTGTCATAGCCCAGTTGTTGAACTTTCCCTGAAAACATTGGCTTCCAATCCCCGAGAAGCGCAAAGAGGCCGTACCCTGTGAAGACTGACGCTCATTTGAATAATATTTAAGTCTTCAGCTTCGATCTCACACGAAACACACTGCGTCCCCCTGGTAGAGGCTGAACGGTTAATGCTGTTAAGGAAAATAAGAGGCTTTAATTCTGGGAATTGTACGAATCATGCAAATGTACTCTCTGAAAGAAGTGCAGAGTGTACGAGTGTACAGCTTCCAGTGCGCCCTCAAAGCCACGTACAATGGAATCTGTTGACTTCTAATGTAATGAAAGGGACATATACTTCTAGCGCCACTGTATATGCAACACGCATATCGACAAGGAACAAGAACGTAAAACAAACACAGAACAAAAATAAGGAGAGAAACTTTCATTTTCTGCTCAAATTTCGGTTTAATTCTTTATTGGGTTTATTTTTACGTATTTGTTGCTTCATGCTCTTGTTGCTCCTGCATGCCTCAAACGATTCTGTCGGAGGGAAGGAACGTTTAACTTTCTGCTTATTATGTTCTTGTCTGTACAGTTGTTTGTTTGTGCCGCTGTTTCTTTGCATTGCTCATTTGCTTTATTTCAAGTACGTTAATTTAAGCAGACGTGCTTATTATGAGATTGTTTCTGCCCCTTCGAATGACCACGCAAATTTTCAAGTACTGGCCCTGTCATAGCTCAGTCGATAGTTTTGCCAGTCTTCAGAGCAGCACACAGATGAAGTTGCGCTGAGAAATTTTGTTCAGTAAACATTTCTCATTTCAGCAATGTTTCATATAAGTATCATCAGACCTAACTGCCACCCCCATGACCCCTCTGAGCAATCAGCAGGTGCTGGTATAGTGGGCAGTAGCAGGGGACTCTGTTTTATTCACTTCTGTTTCCATTCCGCTTGTAATAATTCTGTAGCAATGTAGGTGAGCTATGATGTGGTGCTGTAGCGTGGGTGAAGGTGTGTCACCAATCGAAGCCAACCATAGATCTGTTGTATTGACAGTGCCGAGTACATATGCAGTGGAAATATGGACATTACGAATGGGTCCAGTTTGCTTGTTCTTACGGCTTTACGAGACAATGACATTACGCGAGATACAGTGCGTAAGCAGAGACGCAGCTAGAATGATGTGGGGCGAGAGGCGCGGGGACCAGAGTATCATTTTAATGTTTCTCAGTGACGTCATTTCAGGAAGATTAGATCTCTGAATGGAGTTCTGTTAGGGCCCCCCATACACAGACAGTTTGGCCTCCCGTTCGGCCTGCACAGTTCAAGGCTGAAAGGCAAACTGATGTGTGTGGTGCGGCCGGTCAATCGTTTGGACTGTAGGAAACCCGCCAGTCCGTCAGTTCTACCTGCAGGTCGATCGGCAGGCCAAACTGTGTGTGTATGGGGGGCCTTAGCTTCCAGTAGCACGAGACTAGCAGTGGGCAACCTATCATTTAAATGTCTAGTGAGGAAGGAAGCGAGGCTTCTCATATGGGCTCCGATTATCCTCTCTCAGGGTCTGCAGTCTGTGGAAAGGAAGGTAATTAGTCTAAATTTGTGGGATCAGCAATGCTGAAAGCGGGTACAATTTATCTAGGAAATATTTCCTGTGTCTCAGGTAGGTTAATGAACTAATTGGTGGATTTATTTACTTATGTCCCTGTGAATTCAGTGTTCTCTCGGATGGCGTTAGTGAGTTACATATGGGAATGTAGTTACTTTTAGAGGGAGTACTCTTGTCACTGACGTAAATATAACCCCTCTTTTTCTCTTTCTGCCTTAGTCGCTTCACGTAACGACACACCTAGTGTGCCTCACAGATCTAGACACAAGTTCAGCGGACTTACACCTATTTTTCCTTCCCTAGTGCTGTTTGAAACTACAGGGGACTTTTTAGGAATAGCAGCCGAAAGTCATACCATTGTGATAATTTTCACACAGTGCTTGTTCATACCTCTCCCATTATCACAAGAGTGCTGGGACTGTTTGAATACTTAAGGTGGACGAAACACAGTGCTCATTTATTGGTAGTAAAAGTAACTGTCAGACTACTAAATGGACACTTAGTTATGTATAGAGAGTGCACATAAACGAAACTTCTGCGATTGGTGACGCTGTGTTCTGTTCTGATTCGTTCAAATGCCGGGGAAATACTTTTCCCGCAGTGCACCCAATACCTCTGTTAGATAGTACAGGGTGATTCATATAGAACCGGCCCGACCAAATGAGCTGTAATATAAAATATACCATACAGATATTAAAGTAATTTACACATATCTTATCTTGGATTGTGTGCCGTGATCAGAGCAGGTGTTGAAAGTGTCCGCCGTTTTCAAGTAGGCATTAGAAACACTCGCTGTTCAACAATGTACTCCATGACTATCGCCTGCGCACTGCAGACAGTCCTTGACCTTGCAGCATAAGGGCTGCCACTTACCGGATCATGCGCACACCATTCGACTCAGCACGGCCCACGGATTATTATGTCATAATTGTGAGCGGTTATATGCATCACCTGCGGAATTATTAGCAAATTCATCGGGCCGGTTCTATACGATTCACCCTGTACTTTGAGACACGATGGACATTGCAAATAGTCGGCGCAGTGTGATATGTGATTCCAACCCGTCCTGCTACTTTCCTGTTAGTTGTTTACATGCAAATGTAGACAATCGTTACACAAAATCTACATAACTGTAAAGTGGCCGAGTTTTGTGACAGTTATTATTATGCCCCTTTAATACTCCAGGCGAGATTTGAAGAAGACGAGAAAATCATAATCTAATAATCGAAATATAATAAAGATGTAAGCCGAAATTTTTATTATAA